CCAAGTTACATTTCATAAAAACACGTTATTTTAAAATAAAAAACGTAAAAATATTAGTTTAATTTTACTAATTTTATTGTTTTCATACGTGTTAATATCAATTTCCGTGGCGCTCTTTTATGAGTGAGCCCGAGAGAGTGAGAAGTGTTCTCAAAAGTATTCAGCTAAAAAGAGATGTCACACATTAACAGATCCGTTAAACGTAGTGGAACAAATATAAAATCACTTAAATCAGCTTAATTTGCGCAACGCACACAGTGACGTAAAAGAAGGCCGGGGCATACAAACTTTCCAATCATTGATATAAAATAAAGAGCTTTTATGACGATACTAAAAGTGTCCGCACAGTTTTACGTCATATGTCAAACTCGAGCAAGTGGAGTTAGTCAGTTTTAGTGAAAATAAATACCTACCACTTATTGAAAATAGTATGACTTAAATGATATAGAAACATTTTCATTCAGTCAATCTTCAAATATAAAATTATTAACGTCAAATTAATCAAAATATGACTCAAAGTGCGTTGACTTGTCATATCGCAAAATAGTGTTTATGTTCTCTCTACAATATTTTATCTTGATGTTTCAAATCAAGCTGTCAAACTCTAAAATTTATCATAAGACAATTTTAATTATATTTATTTAAAAACCGTGATCAAATAAAACTGCGAATTTAATAAATCGGAAGTATGTGTGTTAACGAAACACGTCTCCAAACTCCAGGTAAAACATTTACTATTATTTTTGAGGTTATGTTTATATTTTGTTTTTGAGTTTCTACAAAATAGTCATGTGTTTTATACCCAACTCTAAAACAAAAAACTGCGTAAAAGGATACAATATCATAAGTCATCGGAAAACCATCAAAATTAAGCGATGACTGAGTTCCATCAAGAAATAGGCTCTTATAATACCTAACGTTGATCTTAGATTGCAGTTGCCAGCCAAAAAAAATCATTAAACATTGTACCAGAAGGCATTTCACAAGTATAATTTCTTAACCCTAGTACAATTTTGTATGAATAATAGTTTTATTTGAAGTTATAGAAATATGTCCTATCTATAAATGCTAGAGGTACTGATAAACAGTGTCAAACTGATGTAGCGGTGAGGATTTAACTCGAATAATGGTGTCGCACGCCTTTACAAAAATATGGAAACTAAACTTGCATTACAGTTTTTTTTAAGACGATACAATAAATATTGAACTTGGTTAAATTAATTTAAGAAACTAAATAGTTGTGTCTATGTTAGGTATGTACCTATATCATGAAGACTTAATTAAATATTTACCGATATCAGTACCTGGGAGGTAGTGATGTGGGCCGGGTAAATACCCAGCGGGAAGGGTATTTATAAATTGGGTATTTACCCGGGTATTTACCCGGGTATTTACCCGGGTATTTACCCGGGTATTTACCCGGGTATTTACCCAATGCCATTATAAATACCCAAAACGAGGGTATTTATAGTTTGCAGTGTAAAAACAAAAAGTACTAGATTTGCCAGACTAAATGTCGTTCGATAGTACTAGAAAAAGTACAATTGTTCTAGATCTAACCTCACTGTCTACCATCTACCAATCTACCACTACCACAAGGATGATAAACTAAAGAGAAGGTTGGGCCACTTACATCTTCCATAAGAAGCAATATTAACCTATTTAATGTTTTATGTCGTCACGAAATACTTCTGTCACTTTTACAATAATCTTACATCGTTTATTGAGTGTTGTTTACTTATTTTTCATAGTGTTTTGCTGCTGGTACGTTACGTAAAACTATATTTGTACTTATTTTATTGTTTATTGCACTGGCTGAGTTTTCCTTTTGTTAGTATATTGTTTACGTAAGTTTGTTTACGTAAGATTGAGGGTCAGCAGTATTTCATGACGTCATTGACAGTCTGACATATCTATATAAGTGGCCCATCCTCTCTTTAGTTTATAATCCTTGCCACTACCATACAATCCATAACCTAACTTTTAGTTGGAGTTTTAGTCTCTGGCAACGGTTATTTATCTTTTAACAGCTTTTAACAGAATAATGGTTAAGAAAAAAGGTGCAACTTGGCAGTTTTTCAAGGAGAAAGGCAAAAGTGGTGTTGTGTGTAAATACTGTAATCTTGAATACAAACATTCAAATGTTAATAAAATGACGAAACACATAAAGAAGTGCTTTAAGTGTCCTGAAGAAATGAAAAAAATTCTTTATTTAGTGCCAACCACTGTATCTACTAAAGTAGACCTATCAATGCACACGTCCACCCCAAAGAAAAAACTAAATTTCTCCCAACGGCTAAAGGAGTTAGAAGTAGATGTATCTTTTGGGCTAGAAGAAGCAAATCTAGCAGGGCCAAGTTCAAGTAGGTGCCAAACTTTTCCAGTTGTATCTTTATCTGAAACTGAAAGCAGTGCCACTGCCACTAATGCTAGTACCAGTAATATATCTGCAAATAGTGCTTGTTCCACATTTAACTTCAATCGACCTCAACCGTCACCTTCCATCGTGAATAACAACAGAGGAGGCCTGTTAACTTTTGTGGACCATATGGATAATCAGTTAAATGTAAGTATAGAAAGTATAGACTACAAACAGTATTAGACAGTATCAAATGTTTCAATCGGTATTTAATATCATATTAATACCAAACATGTATTTTTTTCAGGAAAGCCTCAATCAAAGTTTGGCCAAAGCAATTTTTGTAAGCGGTACTCCATTGTCTATGGTTGAACACCCACTGTGGTTAGAATTCTTTAAACGACTTCGTCCTTCATTCAAACCACCATCAAGGTATCGCCTTTCATCAACTTATCTCAAAGCTCAGTATACAGAAATGCAAAATAAAGTTACAAGCCAGCTAAAGGATTCAAAACACTTACATTTACAATGTGATGGCTGGAGCAACATCAGAAATGAGTCTATTGTAAACTTTGTTATTTCAAAACCCGAGCCACTGTTTGTGGAGTCCGTCGCAACAAAAGAGAACAGGCACAAAGCATCTTACCTAGCCGAGCTGATAATCAATATTATTGAAAAATATGGTACTGAAAAGTTTTTGGTAATCATTGGGGACAATGCTTCCAACATGAGAGCTGCTTTGGCGTTGGTAAAGGAGAAGTATTCATCAATCATACCTCTTGGTTGCCTTGCTCATCTCTTACACCTTCTGTGTGAAGACATCTTAAAGTGCAATACTATTAAATATTTTATGGCAACAGTTACTAGCATAGTAAAAACTATCAAGAACAGCCATGTCCTAAAAGCACTATTTGACAGGTTTCAATTGGAAAAAAGTCAAAGGACAAGAGTTTCTTTGAAACTGCCTGGTCAAACAAGATGGGGAAGCAACTTGTTTTGTTTACAGAGTTTATTATCAAATAAATCTGTGTTTCAAAAACTAGCTGTCAGTGAAGAAGCAGAAATCTGATCAGAAATGAAAAGACAGATACTTGATGACGGTGTGTTTTGGGTCAGAGTTGAAAAAATGGTTAACATATTAAATCCAATTGTTGATCTTATCACTGCCCTTGAATCAAACACCCCCCTGATTCACAATGTTTATACAAAATTTCACACTCTGCAAGAAACCCTTAAACAAGAAATGCCAGAATCTCCACTTCAAAAGATTGAGGAAAAAAATGTGCTTTCAAAGTTAGAAAACCGTATTCAATTTGGGGTGGGACAAATTCACCTGGCTGCTGACTTGTTAAATTCCTCATCTCAAGGTTGTAACTTGAAGCCTGAGGAATTACTTGATGCTATTAGTTTTGTTTGTGAAATTTATAATCATAAGAACACGAAACAAACTGGAATAGAAGTAAAAAAAGTTTATGATGCTGGATGACGACTTTTTGGAAATACGACTGCCTTGCTAAGACAAGAGGTCGTATCTACGAAAATTCTGATTTCAAGATTCTTACAAATTTAATAAATTTACATTTTATTATAACACAAAATAATTAAGGCCTTTTTACATTTAAAAATATTTACTATAATTGTAAGAAAAGGTTAGTAAAATATGCAAAACTCATTTGCGAAGTCTAAAAGGACGATCTACCTACCCATATTTACTAAAAATATTCATTTTGTAGATACGACCTCTTATCTTAGTAGGACAAACTTTTATGTTCCATTTATGTTTTGAAGTTATAAAATAATTATTTTTTTTTGTAATTATAGGTGGGACCATTCATCTTGAATATAGTACACCTTTTTTTCTGTGTAGTTACCTATCACGTAAGATTTATAACTAGACATAGGAATATATGCACCCAAAAAGTAGTTAAATATGCGCATATATATGCCGCAAAATACTTCAATATATGCGTAAAAAATTGAAAAATATGCAGAGCATATTATGCATTAAGAGTAATTTGTTATTTGATCGAAATAGTTTATTAATATTTATTATTTGTTTTATTTTACTATACCTAATATAATACTTAATAATTATTTAATTATTAACTAATTTTATTTACAAATCAACATTATTATAAAACGAATGAACAATTAGATGCTTTTCTAAATTATCTGTATTAAATGGCGGTCCGGCGGGAAAAGTGGTATAAGTACAAATTTGTGAAAAATGAGTTAAATGTATATTCATATTTCTTATAACGTAATCTTCAGTTGGGAATAACGATATAAGTGCAAACGATACTTAAGTATGCTAAAATAAATGTGGTATACGGTATAACTCAACTATTTGCCATGATATATTGTGAATACTGGTATATGAGAACATATACAAATAATATACAGAATTATTACCTTAACATATTGTGAACAGTGGTGTATGTTCACTTAATCCATTTTTCACAATATTTAAATATAACTGTTTCATGTATATCAATAGTATAAGTATACTTATACCACTTTACCCTAAACATATCCTATGATATTTTAACCTAAAAATAATACATGTGCGATAGGTATATCTGTGCTAATTACCGGCGTTTCTATTGACTATATTTTGCAAAAAATTGTTGATTTTGTGACAATGTACTCCCAGAAGTACTCCCGAAGGACCCATTTAATAGTGAAAAATGCTAAGGCTGTAAAATCAAATGATTTTTATGAAGGTAATATATTAATATAGTTAGCAGTTAAGAATACTTCTACGTAGGTAGGGACTTGTATTTTTTTAATACGCTTAGTACGTTTAAGGTAAAAATATATATTAACTTTTTTCTAATATATAATTTGGTTGAATTATATTTCTAAATACACTGATTTTTTATTTTATTTTTAGAAAATGATCCAACTGTTAAAGACATTAAAAACAATGTTGCTTTGGAGATGGAGGACAATCATTTTTCAGTAGATAATGAATATCAAGTGATATTGACAGGTATGTGCGCCTATGGTTTTGTTTTAGATCTTTCTAAGGTGTTCTTTTTTAACAAAATTTCTTTTTATAATCCGACAAAACCCTTTCGAAATAACTAAAAAAAAATTTTCTTTTTTTAGTTTTCTTGTTGAATGCAAGTTACCTTTCTTTACTAGAAAAATTTGTTAATAAAATATTTTAATTTTTAAAGGTCGAGTCAGTTTTAAAATACACTAAAAAATTTTTTCTTTAATAAAACATTCATTTTTAGAATTCAACCGAAGTGTCAAAGACACTGAGAACAATATGACTATGGACAATAATTTTTTAGTAGAAAATGAAAATCAAGTGATATTAACGGGTAAGTGTGCTTATTGTGTTTTTTAGATCTTCCTAAAATGATTCTTTTTCAACAGAACTTGTTCCAGTAGCGACATCCATGTTAAAAAATACAATCATGCCTACATGCAGTTTCTGGCCTACAGTTACAAACGAATCATTTGACGACACAGATGAAGATTGCAATTTTGTTACTGACAGTGAAGAAAGTAGCACTGATGAAGATAAAGAATGCGATTTAAAACGAAATAAACATAAGGTTAACAATAATCACAAGAAAACTAAGATCTCAGAAGTCAAAGTTCACACAACAGCTGAAACCAACTCCGATTTTCCCAATGAACAATGCGAATCATTTAGAAAAAGAGGCAGGAAAATTAATAAAGGTGAAACTAGAGATGTTCGTGACAACAGAAGTAAGCAAAGAAATTTAGGCAATGCATATGTTACTCGTAAAGGTAAAACAATAAGGGCAAAAACATTTAGGGAACTTCAGATCTGTAGAATGAAGTGCAAAAATAGAATAGACACTTTAAAAAGAAAAGCTATTTTTAAAGAATTTTGGGAAATGGGAAGTTTTAACAACAGAGTATCTTTTATAGCGGGACTAATTTCTAGTAGAGATAAAGGTATGTGCAGAAAGAAAGTTGCAGGAAAAAAGCATAAAGACAGAACAGTGACTCACAAATATGCTCTTCATGTAAATGGAGAAAATAAGGAAGTATGCAAAAAATGTTTTTTAACAACTTTTGATATTACTAATAGATTCGTTACTGATGTAATCAAAAATAAAAAACAATCTACCTGCGGAATTACGCACCCTGATTTAAGAGGTAAAGGGGAACCGCATAATAAAACTCCAAAAGATGATATTAACTTGGTGATTTCTCATATTTCATTGATACCCACATATGAAAGCCATTACCCAAGAAAAGATTCTACCCGAAAGTATTTACCTAGTCATTATACACTAAAAAGGATGTAAGAAGAATATAAAAGTTGGTTACCCGAAAATTATAGGCCCGTGTCACAAAAAATATATGAAATTCAGTTTCGAAGTACTGGTATAAAAATAAAAAGCCCAAATAAAGATACATGTGCAACATGTGACAAGTATCATATGCTCATAAAAAATGCCAAGGACACAGAGAAAGAAGAATTTTTAAAGAAATTACAGTATCATCAATCTGAGGCAGACCTGGCATATGCAGAAAAGAAAAAAGACAAAGAAGAAGCAGCAAGTGATAACAACAAACTAGTATACACCTTTGATCTTCAACAGTGCCTACCCACACCAGATATAAAAACATCTGTTGCATTTTATAAGCGCCAATTATGGACTTACAATTTTACAATGCGCATATGCATGAACAAACAATGTTTTTGTTATATGTGGCATGAAGCTATAGCGGGTCGTGGAGCCAATCAGATAGCATCCTGTTTGTATGATCATTTTACATCTAATTCTTTTAATGGTGTTAAAGAAATAACGCTGTATTCCGATACATGCCCGGGCCAAAACAAAAATTCCCATGTAATGATAATGTTTTTTATAGTGATGAAGAACAATCCTGAAATAACATATATTAATCATAAGTTTCTGATTCCGGGTCACACCCATATGGAGTGTGACTCGGACCACTCTGTCATAGAGAAAATGAAAAAGAAATATCCAGTTGTCATTGAACATCCAAGAGATTGGATACAGTTGGTTCGCACCTGTGGCAAATCTAAATCCTTCATCGTAAAAGAAATGGAACGTGAAAATTTTTATGAGTTTTCTGCGCTTCTTAAACAAGTCTTTATTCAAAAAAAGACTGACGAAAATGGCCAAAAAATAGTGTGGAAGAATATTAAATGGTTGCGCTACTCTCAAGAAATTGGTGTGGTTGAATATAAATTAAATTTAGACAAAAACGAGCCATTTAAAAAAATTAATTATTTGCGTAAGAATTTACCAGAGAATATTCCATTGTCACTTTCCTATAAATCATCGGTTCCTATAAGTGAGGAAAAAAAGAAAAACTTATTGGAATTATACATACATTGATAAAAAATTTCACGATTTTTATCGCAACCTAATTACAAAAAACAGCATTGTAGACACTCTAGATGAAAATAGCGAAAGTGAATAAGTTTAATAATAATATTTTATCTTTTATTTACCTGTATTTCTGTTTACTATCACATAATATTTTGTGAAAAATGGTATAAGTTTGTTTTTGAAAATAAAAAAATGTGACAAATGATATAAGTTTTAATTTTTTTGCTTAATATTTATTTTGGTATCTTCTTAATTTGCTTACCAACAAAACCAGTTTGTACTGCTCTAATGCCATGTGATTTTTTTCTTTAAGATAATCCGGCGCAAAATGCATAATGCACAAACATTAAAGTCATTTATCTCAAAACTTTAATTTTGTACTTATACCACTTTCCCCGCCGGACCGCCAAATGATTGTCTCCTATCAGTAAGTATGTACTTCTTTCGACATCTACAGAAGTAATAGGTGCAAACTTAAATTTTCCTGAAATATCTGGATGAATAGTATTAATATCTTCAAAGTTACCAGAATAAATATTAGCAAGGTTTCTTAAAACAACAAATCCTTTATTTTTTAAAATTACAATTGAAAATTTATGAAAAATCGCCTTTCCAATATCGCCCTGGACATTTTTACACTCTGATTCAAAAGTCTTAATTAAATTTACGGAAGTCACCAAAGGTAAATTTTTTTGTTCTAAATCTAATATAATTTTGGGTACAAATGCATAATTTTTTAAAAACACTAATTGCTTTGGTAATATGTGATTTTGAAACAACTTCTTTGTATTAGATATTTCCTTAGATGAATCATCAAAATCAAATATGATTTCTTTAATTTTTTCATAATTATCTGCGTAAAAAAAGGCAGCTTTAAGCCAGGTACCCCACCGAGTAATCACAGGTTCCGGTGGCATCTGTAATTCAGGAAATTTTTCTTTGTACAATTGTGTTCTTAGAGGAGCTTTAAGAAATATTTTTTTACATTAGTTAGACCTAATTTCTTCTGCAACTCTGTTAAGGCAATGAGCCAAACATGTAACATGGATTAAGTTTTCATAAAACATTTTTAAATTTTGTGCGGCTTTTACCATGTACGGGGCAGCATCGGATAACAGCAATAAACATTTTTCTGTTGGAACGGCTTCCGGAAGAAAAAAGGAAGACAATTCTGTCTGGATAAAACGAGTTATTGTCAAGTTATTTGTTTTATCTAATTGCTTTGAAGCGATTTGATATGGACCAATTTGCATTTCTTCGCGTTATGAACCTATCATTAAATGGGCTATATATCGACCACAAGAGTCTGTTGTTTCATCCACAATAATGTAGAAATGGTTTCCAACGGTAATCTCACGAATTTTTTCACGAGTCTCAATGTACAAACTGTCAACACCACGTTTGCGTAATATACTTTGCTCTGGAATATTAAATTTACAGTATTTTTGCAAAAATGATCGTAGATTTGGATTATTTAATCGTATTAAAGGTATATTCGAAGTCACTAAAGCTTTGCATAATTCTTCATTAAAAATAGACGATCCAGATTCTAAATATTGTTTCAAGGGAAGTTGACTTTGTCTGCGAGTGTCTTTAGATTTCTGCTTTGCTATATGTGAGGGTGTTTTCGCGTGTTGGTCGATTTGAAACTTTTTTTTTTACATGGAATCTAAAACAAATAAATTCCTGTAGATGTTGAAGTTTTATTTAAATTAAATAAATGCGTACGTTGTAAAGTTGCCCTACTTTTTTTTTAACTGTGAGTTGAAATAATATTTTACTGTCGTTTGATTTACCATTGTGAAAGGTCAAAATAAAATATAAAATAAAAAAGTACTTACAATTTTAGAACATGTTTTACAAAACACCTGGTTATCACCTTCTACAACAAAATCTGAATAAGATTTTACCCACGACTCAATTAATTTTGCCATTTTTCTCACTGGTTAACACAACACAACAATAAAGACTGAAATGAAGTTGAAAGTAAACTGAGTCATTTAGAAATTTGAAGATATTAATACAACTACCTGAAAGGATATTTAGCAAAATTTGTTGGTTTAAGGAGGGTGTTTATAATTTAATCCTGTCAAGTACCTACACCATTAACCGTAATTTATTACAGAAAAAAGTTAATCCTTCAAAATTTTAGGAAATCGACCTGTAAAGGCATTTCACAAAATATTATTTTGGTCCAAAACTCATAATTTTAATATGTCCAGCCAATTAGTACGTCAGATTTATGCCAAAAAATTAACAAAATGTCAATATATGCATTCAAAATCAAAAATTGTGTATATATGCAAAACATATGCAAAATATGGCGTTTTGCATATTTTCCTAGCTCTATTTATATCTATCTTCCAGAAATATATAGAACCTATCTCTTCAAAATAAATTCAGAATATTTCATTAAAAATATATTTAAAAAATATATAATTTTACTAGGAAGAGATGAAACTAGCAACCTAATAAACAGTACCTAAAAACTAAGTTTAAATTAGTTAATTAAAAAATGATTTCTCCTTCCTCTCTCTACCAAAAAAATATATAGATAACATACTTATATTATATACTTTATTTTTTTTACACACGTTGCACAGGTTTTATATTTTTCTTTTAGTGTCCATGCACAACCTCACTGGTTCAATGGACTAAATGTATCTATCTATTTATTCAGCATCTATAATTTGTAAATAAAAAATTGTAAAAACAATTATTCTAATGAAAAGAATAAATAGAGTTTATTATTATTATTATTATTAACAAGTTTTTTAAAGCCACTTTCGACATTTTTTAAAAATTAGCTTTAAATTTTGTTTTGTTCAAGTTTCTACAAAATAGTAAATGGATACAATGTCATCGGTACTCTTTTATAGGAAAACCATCAAAATTAAGCGATGACTGAGTTTCATCAAGAAATTGGTTTTTATGGCACCGAACTACCGAACTTTAAACAGATCTTAGGTTGCAGTTGTCACCCAAGAAAAATTATTGTACATTGTACCAGAAGCTAGTGAAATGTATGACAATTTTATTACATATTTTATTTGAACAAGGATAATTTCTTGACCCTATAGTCTATTTTTATGTATGAGAGAGTAATAAAACAGCATTTCTAATGCAAAACTTAGTACGGTCATTTTAAATATTTTTACAGAATAATCTAAATATTTCCTAAAATTGTAATAAATGTACCTGAGCTATTACAAGTTTTGGGTCTTTTATTGGTCCTTTATAAACATAAGCAGTATAGAACAATAGAAAAAGATTTGGGCAGGCCAAAAGCCCTGTGTATTAAAGATTACATAGCCGTATCTTAAGATTATTTTCAATAAGTACCTACTTGCCAATTTTGTTTTATTTTAATTCCAAGAATTTCTTACAGTAATCGAATTATAAGTAGATAAATACCTTCCCAACAAATTTCACCGAAAATGCGATTATAGGTTTTCCATTTAGTAAGGAGGTCCAAGTTGTGTATTCGAGACAGTTTACTAAATGTCGTTTAGTTGCAACTTGCAAGGTGCAGTGTGAATTCTAGTGTGATCATGGAAAATTTGGAAGGGCCGCGTAAACGACAAAAAATCGGTCCTTTAACAGTTAATGAAAAAACATTAATATTTAATTGTTCTTAATCATTTACAGACAAACATTTATGTAAAAGTGTTGATGACACAGTGGAATTAGTTAGTAGTACGCTTGGTGTTGGGAAATCTACGATTTACAGAGTTGTTAAAGAAGAGAAATGTGGCGAGTTTCAAACAGCACGTAAAGCTCCAGGAAAACCAAAATTTCAATTAGAAAATCTTTTGAAAGAAAGACTTCGAAGGAAAGTGCATGCGTTCTTCTTTATAAAAGAATTTCCGACAGTAGACAAAGTTCTTGCCACGGTTCGAGATGATAAGGATTACCCTGAAATGAGTCGAAGCACACTATGGAAACTTTTAAAAGAAATAGGTTTTCTATGGAAAAAGTATTCCAGAAAGTCTATTTTAATAGAAAGAGGCGATATTGTAGTATGGAGAAGAAATTACCTTAGGACTATAAAAGAAATGAGAAACCAAAGAAAAAATATATTTTATTAACATGAAACATTGGCAAGATGAAACTGTTACAAGTCGAAGACAGGCTTTTTTAAATAATTTATCTACTGGTTTAAATCCACCATCAGGAAAGGGACGCAGACTAATAATAGTACACATCGGTAGTTCAAACGGTTTTGTTAAAGTGGTTTATTGACTTTTGAATCTACTCGTATCGGTGACTACCATGAGGACATGAATGCTGATGTCTTTAAAGAGTGGTTCGAACAAATTATAGATCTTCTTCCTCAGAACTGTATAATAGTAATGGATAATGCAAGTTATCACTCGAGACTTATAGAAAAAATGCCCACAACCAAGTGGTTAAAAAAAGATTTACAGAATTGGCTAAATTCAAAGAATATTAAGTTCCATCCCGGTTCTGTGAGAAAAGAACTGTATCATTTGTGTTCCCTTCATAAAGAGAAATTTAAAAAATATGAAATTGATGAAATTGCAAAAAATCGTGGGATGACAGTGGTTAGATCACCACCATATCATTGCGAAGTAAATCCGATTGAACTGATATGGGCACAGATAAAGGGAGAAGTTTCAAGAAAAATAATTCTTTTAAAATGAGTGATGTTAAACAGTTGTTTTGGAGGCTGTAAATAATGTGAAGCCTGAAAACTGGGAAAAGGCAGTAAATCATACGATTAAAGAAGAAGAGAAAATGTAAAAGTTGGACAATATTACTGATGAAATGATCGAGCCACTCATTGTAAATATTGGTTGCAACAGTTCATCTTCTGATTTCGATTCTAATTTGGATTTGTAGATAAGAAGTAGTTTTTATATTAAAATTATTATTTATGAACGTAACGTTGTTTAAAAGTCAAAGTTTAAACCCTTATAGCTACATAACCCGTTTGACACAATGTTCTTAACATAAGTTGTGGAAAAATAAAACATTTTAGAAAAAATTGCACTTTTTTACCTTTAGCTGTTTAGAAGTTATAAGCAGGTGAAAATATAAGTGTATACTCGAGGAATAACTTCAAAAAATATTTTAACTGTCTACTAAAAGAAATAGTACGCCTATGGATTACGGACGCTTTATTATTTTAATACACTCTCATACATCAAAATAGACTATAGTAGTTTTATTTTGTAGGTTGTCCCTAATGAATTTAAAGTTATAGAAATATGTCTTACCTATAAAAAAACAGTGTCAGACTGATGTAGGGTAAGGATTTCACTCGAATGATGGTGTCGCATGCATTTACAAAAATATGAAAGCTAAACTTACATTACAGTTTTTTTTAAAGACGATATAAACAATAAATATTGCACTTGGTTAAATTAATTCAAGAAACTAAATAGTTATGTCTATGTTAGGCATGTACCTATATCATAAAGACTTAATTAAATATTTACCGATATCAGTACCTAGGAGGTAAACTGAACTATGTCGTACTACTATTTATGAGTACATGAGTACATGAGAGGTGTATATATATATGACCTTATGTCATAGAAAAATTGTTATTAGAACATAGGAATATGTTACCAAAACTAACAAGTCATGTATATTAAAAAAAAAGTTTTATTAGTTAGATTAATAGTAAACAATACATATTGTGACAATAATTGGAGCTAACTACTTACGTTTCTTGTCGAAATATAATTTATATATGTAAATATGGAACACAAAAGTGTCCAAACAACATTCAGTCTGTTCTACTAAAAAGTTGACAAGAATGACTACAGTTTACCTCCGGGGCACTAATTACCCATTAAATAATTTTCAAAACTTCGAGTTTATTATTTTTTTATTGTATCTATTTTTTCACACAGCAGTCTGTGAAGAATATTTTAGGTTTACTTTGTCCGATGTCACGTTTTTTGTCTGCACGATAAGTCAAAAACGAAAAATAATATAAACTTGAAGAAGCTCTTTTATTTAAAAAAAATCTGATTAAAAATGGGGTTTTAAGGGGGGTTGAAATTAAAAAAAGATCATAAATCAAATCAAAAATGAAAAGCGAAATCAATATGAAATTTTTAGTAAAATTCAAGCTCTATAAAGGGATGATGCCTATTGATTGTGAAAAAAATTTGAACTCAAAAACGAAGAATATCAACTTAAAATTTTCAGAAAAATCAAGCTCAATAAGGAGATGAATCCTATTAATTCTGAAAAAATCTGATTGAAAATGGGAGTTAAGGGGGGTTGGTTAAAATGTAAAGAGTATAATTTTAAATGCCACGCATTATATAGCTTCATTCTTGTTTGTATCTGGGTAATGTTGTGTATTCTGATGGGACTGATCTTATAAAATTAAAATTTTTAGTTCACTTAGTTTATTTGTCAATAAAAAATATATTGTTTTATTTGACATGTGTGACAAATTATGAAAATGATTAAATTTACAATAAAAACCGAAAAACGGTAGGTTAAAGTTTCATATATTTTTTACACAAAAATCAATGTCAAGCTTTGTAGGTACATAACCTGATATATATTTAAAAATAATTTTAAAATATGAAGTCAGCTGACGATAACTAATAATGTTTATTATAAATGGTTTTCAACGTATTGAAAACAAAACAAAACAAATAGCTGTTACGATAACTAAAATATTCATTAATAATTGTAGTGCTTGCAAACGGCATGATATTGATAATAATAACTACACTTCATATAAACACAAATAAAGAAAAACCCGAGGAAAAACCGCGATATTGGCGTTTGTACAAAGTTTTGAACCCAACTTACAAACGATAAAATTATTGGAAAAAGTGAACACCCTTTTTAAATTAGGACAAGCCGCCACTGTTTGTAAGCAATACTACAATTATAACAAAAACTGTACGTGCATTTGAAAAAAAAAAACATAAAAAATAGATAAAAAAAATAAGGGCTAATCTTTTCAACTCTGAGTAAAGTTACTTTGCTGATTAAACTATAGGGCTATTGTTTGTTAATCTGTCAAGTAAACCTACATGTAACTTTACTCATAGGTGAAAAGATCGGCCCTAAAGAAGATAAAAAAGATGATAAAATTTTAAAAAAATTGAATAAGGTATAAACAAAATAAATTTAAACAAAAAAAACAAAATCAATAAAAAATAATTTAACAAAAAAGTAAAAAATAAACCAATAACCATATGTAATAAGTTCTCAAATATCAATAGAGATACTAACAAAATAGTGTATTTGTAGATTTGAAACAATATTGAATATTTCATAGAACAGAAACAGAAGTCTGGCTAATTTGGTTCCTACCACAGCCGTTTAACTAATAAAAACAATGTAGTTCGTTTTTTTTTTGTTATATCTATTACAATGTTATATCTTGTTGTTTAGAATTGCTGAAGGTCTTACAGAATTCCTGAAGGTCTTACAGAATTCCTGAAATCTGAAATCCTGTGTACACAATTAATTTTTCTAATAAATTTACCCCTTCATGTTTATTTTATAGAACTCCAAGTAAGGATGGTTGACTTCAAAAAGTAAATAAATGTGTTTTCTTATTTCTTATTTTAAATACAAAATTATATAAAATAGGTACCTATACGGTACAAAATAACATACGAAAATTAAATGGTATTATCGATCTACATCAAGTCTGACAGTCAAAAATTGCATACCTTATGAAGTAATACTTTTAAGGCAGCAGCTCCTGGTTCATTTTAGCATAAGCAAAAAATTTAAAAAAATTAATTTCTTTTATTTTTTATAATTTTCTTTTAATTTAACGATAAGTGGAGAATGAAATTCAAATTTTATTAACTAGGGTACCTAGGTATGTTTTTGGAAAATAAAAAAGCAATGACGATATACCTATAGTTAGTTAAATTTTCCAAACAATGAAAATTCGATCACCTTTGAACTTTAAAAATGCATTACGTGATCAAACTCGATCCTCTATTATATTAGGTTTGTACAACGCAAAAATGGCGATCCAGGAAAATCGGAAAATAACAAATATAAACAAAATATCGCCAAATACAACGACTGCACCAATCTAACTTGCACGCCAAGTTTGCAATTACACAAAATAATGAATGGACAAGCTGTTGGTCCCTTTCCAAAAAGCGAAAAGAACAAAATCATGCACCGGCTAAGCGATTTTTCGAAAATAAAGCGAAAAAAATCAAGTAAGTACCTTTCTGTCATTGATTACGCAATGCGTCCGAAAACGCGCAAAAATCACAGCACTCCAGATCAAAAAATCGCTACAAATTATCTTTAAACCACTGATCAGCAATACTCCAAATCCCGCATTAGAAGTGGATTAGAATAGAAGGAACCGCGCAAACTAACGGTACTGTCACCCGGAACCACAATATGGCGGCACTGCACGTGTTAGCAACACACTAGATTAGATGGTTCTGAAGTAAAAGTATATTTATGCGTTTTTTAGTAGTGGGTGGCTGTTTTGTCTGTTGTTGTGTGTTCGCTCTAAGTCTAACCTGCCATGGTGTGACGTCGATTGCCGACTGTCTAGAGCGGCTAACGCGATGTCAGTCGTTGCTGGTGGCGAGCCACTACCGATGCGACGTTGCCAGGTGTTCTAGGTGGAAAATTCGGGAAACTGTCGTGACGGAGTGGATTTATTGGTCGATTTCGATATACCTAGATGATTGACAGCAATTTTGGAGTCGGGGAAGTTTCATTCGAATGAAGATGAAAAATCTACTTGAAATGTTTTTGGTAAGATCAAAGCTACAATATCCTTTCTATTATAAAACGAAAAGAAGGAGTGAACCTAAATGATTTTTTCAGAGCTATTTTCCTGCTCTTTAATCCGTAGTCAACATTGGAAAATTCTTCAAAAACATAACACACCCTTCAGGAGCGGGTCGTGGCCTAGTATACGAACAGGTTACTTCTGAATATATACCTACTTAATACAAATTATATTTCTATTAGAATTGAAATGTAATAACCTGCAAACCTCTTGTTGAGTTTGCACCCTATCACCAACACTAATCATCATTAATAGGTATATCAATCTTATTTTCAGTTAAATGGATTTAAAAAACACAGGTTGTAAAATATGCCGTGTGTTCCGTATATCACCGAATATTACCGGTGTGGTTAAAGCGGTTACTAGCGTTTTCAGGACGATTTCTTGTGAGTGAAATATTTACTGAACGCTTGTAAATGTCAAATGTCTCATGACTCTCCTGTCAAATCAATGCATTTTTTGTTGGATGTTGATGTTTGGATGTTTTTTATATTTATGAAATTAGATATTAGGTAGTTTTTGATGTTTTTACGTTTGCTAAAATATTCCTTCTTCACAAATTAAAAAAAATACAAATTTAAATGATATGACACATGATTATCACAAATGTCAACGTCAACCATAACAACCGATGAAAAAGTTTGGTCACTTTGGTGACAGCTAGTATCAACCGCATTTCAGGAACATTGTCCCGTAAATCTACAATTTTCAGGAATTTAACATTTACGGAACGCGATTTTACTAACCAGGTTAACCAAGGTGATATACGGAACAGCAGGATTATGTGGTACATTAGGTTATATGGAGCTGACGTAACGTTCTTTAATGCAATAAAGCTACAGAATTGTATTTTAACGTGTATAAAAGTTTTTAACGTCAATTAAAAAAAATAAATTGCTGGAACACAGAGCTACCACGTGTAGTAGATGCTTCCCAGATAAAGCAGTCGCACGGATTTAAATTTGGAGACCGCGGAGGCCATTGAATAGGTGCTTCTTGTACCCTACTATTCGTTCGTTTGGATATTTTCTTACTGCACGTGCAAAATGAGGTGGTGCACCGTGGTGCATGAATATATTTCGACGAAAATTAAGGGGCAAGTCGTCTAATAAATCTAGCAAAACTTCTTGAAGGAAGCGAAGGTAACTGACACCATTAAGACGATCTGGCAATCGGATCGACCCAACCAAAAAATTGCCGTTAAATCCAATCCAAACATTAATTTTAAATTCTTGTTGATAGTTTCTAGCTTTATTAGCATGCGGGTTTTCATCAGCATAAACATGCTCATTTTACAGGTTCATCATGCCACGATGTGTAAAACAAGACTTATCAGTAAACAAGATTTTAGTGTGAAATCTGTTGTTAAGTATTCTGCGCTTCCGAACAATTTGTAAAAAATTTAAACGTGATCCGTGGTCAAGTGGTAATAACTCTTGCACTAGTTGTATGTGAAATGGATGAATTAATTGTTCTCTGTAGATCCGATTCTTGTTTGTCGTGGCACAGATCTGGTTATAATCTCAGGATTGTCATCGATTATTTCAAGAACAGCCTCTTCCCAGACAGCACACCAAATCCTTTGGATATCTACTGAACATCCCAATATCCACTGAATGTCCAGTCCATGGTGGATATCTATTTTATATCCATGAAATGTAATTTATAGACATGCAAATGTCCATAAATAATTGTAATTATATAGCAAATTATTAAAAAATTACGCCATTGTACTCGCCATTGTGGCTAATAGTACCGTTGAGATATTTAAAATTAATTTTTTTTAAGGTGTATTTAATATCCCATGGACATCCACTATAAATATAAATATATCAAAGTCTAAGCGCGGACGCAAACCATCGTGGATATCTACTAGATGTAATTTTTGATTTTGCTTCCTAAGTATAGATGGCGATACCACTTTCGTATCTACTCATGCTTAACCCGCCGTAATTGAGTTTGATCGACATTGTTTCACAAACAGACTTCATTAGAGACTGAAGTCGAGAAGTTCCATTTATTGCTGAAGATTCCTAATAAGGATGATTTTCTCCTTAGTAGGCAAAATCAAAGGCAGATTGTTGGGAATATTTTTTACCTCTATTTTCTTTCGACGTTATTCAATAACCATTGGTTACTTATGAACCTCTACTAAAAATAATTATAAAATATTTATCTGAATTTCTATATTCTGGGATATAGACGGACATTTGGTTGGATATCCACAAAATATATTCTATGGATATATCTGGGATTTCTTGTATTGTCTGGAGATACTCATTAGATATTTTGCTGAATATCCATAGGATATATTCTATATTCTGGATATAGACGGACATTTGGATATCCATATTAGTTCCACGGAATATTTCTGATATCCTGTGGATATATTGGATATCCACAAAATATATTCTGTGGATATCTCTGGGATTTGGTGTGTTGTCTGGGTTCCGCATTAGGTCTTCAGACTCGGGGTCTTACAGCGTTGATTCTGAGTGGTTTCAACATTCCTGTATCTCGAAGACGTCTCTCGATTCGGTCAAAAGTTTTATGATTCGGAATTCTCCGGTTCGGATACCTCTCTTTATATACGCGGGCACTTCTGTGACAGTTAACTTGACAGAATCCAAAAACTAAGACCATATCGCTCTTCTCATTAAAAGACAAATCCATATTTAATAACAGTTAAATAATAATAAGTAATGGTACTCGCGATAATAACAAAATTGAAGAAATTATTGAAATATTTACAGTCAACAACAAACTTGAATGATTATGAATTTGTATTCTGTCAAAATCACGACTTGTGTTACCTTTGTTTCCACAATCAATTAAATTTTGTATTACAATTTTATTAAACTTCTACTAGGAATATCTGTTAGCATTATTTTAAGCCTTGGTTTCTTTGAACACTCCATCGCGGTGTGCGGACAGTCCGGCGACCGCTGAGGACAGCGATTTTCGCCCGAGGTGGTTTGTTAAAAAATATAAAAAATGAGACCTTCTCTATGTCTGTAAGTGCTGTTTATGTATTATGAATGTAAACGAAAGGTACTAAAATGGACGCAAATAAATTGTTTGCGTTGTTAATATTGTTGGAAGAGGAAGAACAAGAGGAACTGGCAATTGCAACCGTCAAAGTTTCCAATAAGCCAGTGGATAAGTTGTTTTTGTGTCGCGATACAGAAGGTGCCTTCAATATCACTGTGCAGCGGAGGCCTTTTGGAAATGGAACCAAATTTAGGGAGTATTTTAGACTTTCTACAGATATTTTTGAATTCGTGTTGAGTTTTATAAAGGACGACATTTCCAAGAAACCTACAAATAAAGTCATCTATATTTGTGAATTTGTCTCTCATTGTTTTAAAAATAATAACAATATAATTATTTGTATTCACAAACTGTCTCCGCACTCCGCTATCAAACTCAACAGATATGAACCGACTAGTCGCGACAAATCAGCGGCATAACGCCGTCCTGCTCAGCTAAGCGGATTCAAGAGAACCATTCTTATTTAAATGCTCTGGTTGGATAAAATCGTCAAAACACAACGGTCGACGGACTATCCGCCCACCGCGATGGAGTGTTCAAAGAAACCAAGGCTTAAGAAAACGTTTTTTTTTTCTTCGGAACTATGCGGAATATGAATTTTTACAAGAGTAACAAAATGCTAAAAAAATTGAGAACCCAAAGAAAGTTCTAAAAAAATGTCAGGGTGTGAGGGTGGTTTTAACAATTTTATAATTTCTTTTAGGTTTCTTTAATTACCAAAAGGGGAGTAATCCTCAAAAATGCATTTTTGTCAAATTTCATTTAATTTGTTTCACTCATTTCTGAACGGCATACAAAAATGTATTCTTTTATGTTAACTTTGAACTCTTCTCACGGGCAAACGGTACATTTTGGTATATTATACTATAATGTTAAAAATATACAGTGTTTAATTTTTATATTCTTTGTTTTTTCGTTTAATTGTTTGTTATTTTAATTGTTCCTGTTTACGCCACTGCTGTCCTTTCTTTAACCGAGAGAAATGGCGTTAAAAAAGAACATTCGTATTCGGTTTTGTGACTTCAACGCATCAGCAAGCTATAATGTAATATTATAAAAAAAGTACAGTCCATTTTACACAAAGATGTTTCCTTTAAACCCAACATACGTAGTCTTTTTTAATAGTTTATAAAAGTAGTTGTATAGGAATACGTAATTTCATTTAATTTGTTTATTACGTTCATAGGCGTCATCGACATAAGGTCCGGGGGCCAGGGGTCCCTCGGAAATAACCCAGGGTGGCGGGCCCCTTCGGAAAAACGTGAAAATGTAATGTATTTTTTCGGTAATTATTCAGTGGAAAATTAGAAGAACACGTCATTGTTCTTCGGAGTTTTTTTAGCTGGCGAAAAAATAGAGTACATCACCGGACGGCCCATATGATTACGTTTATAATATCTCATTTTGCAATTAACTCATCTGAGCAAGGAAAGTCCTTAAAATTGTAAAAAAGGACTTTTCCATTTAAAAAAAAATGGCGATGACGGCATCATACAAAGATTTTTACCCTGTATTTTAGATTATTTTCAAAAACAGTAGGTACATTACAATCAAATATCTACCTGTTTCGGGAATTTTTAATAATACTTTTAATTTAGCTAATAATTAATTTATGCGTTAATTCATAGTTGATTTCTCCGAAATCATAAAATTTTTGATGATTCCGAAATACAGGTACGTTTTGACCTTAGTGCTTTGCCCCTTGATAAAATTCCAATCGAAAACTATCCTTTGTTCGGATTTTTCCGCGTGTCCGCGGAAATCGGCGAGTATCCGGCAACGCCGCTCTAAACTTAGCGCCCCCGCGAGTCCCCGCCGAAAACGTGTGAATGCGGCGCCCGAAGGCGATGCATTTCGTCTCGACGTGTGTGCACTATTCTCTTCTCTTCCTCTTCTTCTCGCACGAAACACTA